GTGTAGCAACACAATAGAAAATGATTTTGAGGAAAAACCCCTTAAAATGTTGACTTTCAAGGACTGGGTTTGCAAATTAGCCTATGGCTAGAAAACCCTTGTACAAAGCAACGGTTACTTGTTTTTTTTTTATCATGTAGCATTGTTTATTGTGCTGTCTTTCATCAAATAAAATGAAATGAATGTATTTCCCTGTGAACTAGGAAAGCTTTTGTTTCTTTCCAGCTGGGAAAATTCAATATTTAAATATTATTTGAGGTTTTCTCTTTCTATTGACATAAAAGATTACTCAATAAAATTACATAAAATTAGGATTCAGACCAAACATAAATGTATCTGGATCTGCTTATGATCTCAGAATGATCCAGGTATCAAAATGTAGCTTTTAAAGCCTGGAATCTAAAAATGTGATGAGGTCATTTTCATCAAATTTGACTTAATCTTCATTTCAATATGATGGGTAACAAATGCTCTCTCTTTTTTTCTGTGTAAATACATTATTTTTTTACTCCTGCTTTAGACAGTGCCCCTCTGCTGACATTGAATAAAAAAAAAAACTTGTGGTCACAATAATTTTGAGCAGCCATGTGTGTTTGTGAGAGATACAGCCACTGTAAGAGTCAAATTATGTGCAGTATGAATAGCTTGTGTTGTTTTTGTGTTTCACTTATTTAGGTTTATGTTTAATCTAAACTGTTCACCTTTCATAGTATTTATGAGATGTCAATGAACACCCCAGATGTTTGTCGGGAAACAGATTTTTTGCTGTGTTCCTGAACGTAACATAACTTCAACTCCTTCTACAGCAAAGGAACAGTGTGTGATACGAGCCTGTTCTGTGTTGAGCTTGAAATAAATCCAATAAAGCGTTTTGGACAAAGACAACTCCAGTCAYCACCYGTGTCTTATARCTGCRACATAAAATGCTAAGAATTACTTCATGCCACAGGCGTGTCATTCATTCTTAGATGAAAATAAATAAAATTATTTCAAACTTGTCCACATTAACAATCAACAGTTCCTGCATGGAAATAACGTGGCCGTGGGGTAATTGTTTTCTATCAGTGTCACTGGATGGGCTCCATTCAACAGACTGATGTAAGACATTGTGACAGGTCCATGCATAAACACACGTCGACKGCCCGAGTAAATTGTTTGCTCCTCTTGTCTGTGCATCATTAACAGGATMTTTGAATTGCTGAAACAGAAGCTACTTAGCTGCAGGTCGTGTAAAATGTGTTCACGGATTGATGCCAGTCATGTTCACCTCCAGATTATTATCAAGTAATGGTTTTCTAGCAGGTACACACATTGGATGAATAAAAAATAAAAACTCTGCGAGGCTGAAGCTGCTGCCAAGGCTTTTACAGCATTTTCCAGAGCCGACCGTTGTCATCAGGAGAGAATCCAAAATAGCAGCACATTCACTTGACACTTTCAACTCGTGAGTCATAAACCTATTTGTTGGGACTTTTTAGCACGCTATCATTTTTTTTCTCCAAAAACCACTAATGATGAGGTAACAGAAACCCCGCCCAACTCCCTCTCCCACACAAAAGTCTTAAGCGACACAACCATGTAAAGTTAAACATTCTTTGGTAAAGTATCTAAGGGTGAAGCCCAGCTGTTTCTGTCCTCTACCTCTGTTGACACTGTGCAAACAAAGGCGAGCACTGGCCGGGCTAATGTACACAAACCTCCTCCAAAGATGCTTTGTACCAGACCCACACGCTTTCCTTTTGTGCAGAGATCAAAAAGGTCGAAATGGACATGAGCAGCCTCTGGCCTGGGGTCAAAGGCTCAGGCTAAATGAAAGGTGATACCGTTAATCAGCCCGTGGAAGGGGATAGGATTCCTCCTAGGAAGTGAAGGACGCTTTGAAGGCCCTTGAAGTCGACACAGGATCACCGAGTAATTATGTTTCCCCATAGGGGCTCTGTATTTATGGCGACAGCTTGTCACTCTATTTCAGGTCCTCACAGAGCTTAAGAGGAATACAAACCTTAAACACTCGAGCACGCCGGAAATAGAGCGAGAGCGCTAGCTGCTGCCCTGCAGGAGCTCTGCAGTCTGCATGGTCGTGGCTTYAGTTTCACCTTCATCAAAGCTCACGTTGATGTGATGCTTATGTCAAACCGTGATAAAGGCCTGTATTATGATGTGTTGTCTGTATAACACATACAGGGAAAAACAACTTGTCAGTCTGTGGGGTGTGGACTAATTCACACAAAATGTGTGAAGTAAATCAGCTGCGTTACTTGTTGTAGCTGTGGGTTGAGCTGTGTGGGAAACAGYCTGATCTTTGGGCTCTTTCTCAAGATGAGAAAATCTCCAGTCAAAGCAAACACTATAGTCTTTTACTAAAACATGTTTGTTTTTTACCCAGCATTCCTTGAAGGAATCGCCCACTGCCTTTCTACTAAAATCATCCTATGTTGACAAATGACGACATCAGACATTTTGGTCAATCCTCGTAAAAGACTTTCCTTTTTTTTGCAAAACCAGCCACGAGATTTGATTGTTGAGGATGACAYTCAGCTACTACCACATCAAAKAGYATATCTGTAAAACKGACTGAATTATTTCCATTTATGTGCTTGWTAAGGTCGATAAGATGTTGCGGCCATCTTAAATTGTGTCAAATTCAAAATATAATCAGCTGCAGACGTACATCCAACTTATATTTTTGGAAAGTTTCATCCAAGTCCACCCTGTGGTTTTTGAAATATTTTGCTAACAGACAAACAGGKTTAACTTTGACAATGAAGGCCCTTTCACACTATAATGTTTTAGGTAATTTATGCCAACTTATGAAATTTGTTTTATGTCTAAATGCCTAAGAAAAGTTATATATTTGATCAATTTGTTAGCAGTACAGTATGTATACGCCTAAAAGAGGCTTCCAGTTGATTTTTTTAAATTCCATCTTAAACACAGATGTATTTAAAGTTCTTATAAGTTGTCTAAAGCGTTGTAGTGTGACAGAGCCTTTAGGGCCACAGTTTTAAGCAAATGTGTCGCAGAAGCTGTAGTACTTAGTTAACTACTACTACACCAATCATTAGCTTAATAGCTGTAAATTTACAACCAGGCAGCAGTTATTAGAAAAGTTATGACTGATTAAATGTTGTTTTTTTACTCATTTTACACAGAATTTTCTTTTATTCATGTTTTTAATGCATACCAAGTCATGTGTTACATGTACCTAATTTTACTGATTTAAATTATCCTCCAATAAAATGTAATCAAATTTCTTATCACCTACTGTTTATATTTTCGTCTATTTTTTTCACCTTTTAAACTTAAATTAGGTGGCATGGAGCAGTTATGGCTTTTCAGATTTAGTTGTGAAC